ATTCTATTTTAAAGATCAGTTCTTTTTTTTTGTTAGGTTTCGTAAGTCAAAACTTTTTTAGATTTTTTTTGTTAGTTCAAATCTTCTTTAAAGTTGGATATGGAACTAATTCTTTATTTAAAGATCAGTTCTTTTGGTTCGTTTTTGTTAGAGGTCGTAAGTCAAATTGTCATTAGTTTCTTTAAGTTGGATATGGAGCTTATTCTTTTTTAAAGATCAGTTCTTTTTTTTTGTTAGGTCAAATCTTCTTTAAAGTTGGATATGGAACTAATTCTTTATTTAAAGATCAGTTCTTTTGGTTCGTTTTTGTTAGAGGTCGTTAGTCAAATTGTCATTAGTTTCTTTAAGTTGGATATGGAACTTATTCTTTTTTAAAAATCAGTTCTTTTTTGTTGTTAGGGGTCGTAAATCAAAACTTTTTTAGATTCTTTTTGTCAGGTCAAATCTTGTTCCTTGGTGATATGTTACCGAAACAAAACACAAAGTGCTTAAAGTACTTTTCGCCAACAATGTTGGCATCTCCAGAAGCGAAGTGTAACTAAATCTAAATGCTAAATGTCATTAGTTTCTTTAAGTTGGATATGGAACTTATTCTTTTTTAAAAATCAGTTCTTTTTTGTTGTTAGGGGTCGTAAATCAAAACTTTTTTAGATTCTTTTTGTCAGGTCAAATCTTGTTCCTTGGTGATATGTTACCGAAACAAAACACAAAGTGCTTAAAGTACTTTTCGCCAACAATGTTGGCATCTCCAGAAGCGAAGTGTAACTAAATCTAAATGCTAAATCTACCAAATTTATACTAATTATTATAGTTTACTAAACCCTGGACCGTAATCGCTTCAGTGAACACGTAAAGAGAAACTAACGAACTCTAGTTGGGTACCGGAGCGTTTTCGATATTTAAACATTTATTTCGATTCTTATAGATGTATAAACTGTTATAACGATCTAGTAGGCGTAAGTTTAAGGTTGCCAAATCCTATTCTATGACCATCATCAAGTATACGTTGGGGAACAATCGATTTCTCTGTCCAACCAAATCTAGCACTTGGCCCAGTGCTAGATTTGGTAGGACAGAGAAGTCGAATGTTGCTCAACATCCACTCCATTTCTCTGTGCTACAAAATCTAGCACTTGGCCAATGCTAGATTTGGTACTACAGAGAAATCGAGTATTGCCCAACATATACTTGATGATGGTCATAGAATAGAATTTGACAACCTTAAACTTATTAAGGAAGTTAAGGAACCAAGTCTGCTAGATGGTTATGAAGGTTTATACATCTATAAGTATAGAAATAAATCTTTGAATAGCGATAACGAACCGGTACCCCAGTCTAGTTTGTTTAAATTAGTTTGGTAGTTTCTCTTTACGTGTTCACTGAAGCGGTTACGGTCCAGTTTCCGTTAACGGTTAAGTCAACCTTAGCTTATTATTAGTATAAATATGGTAGATTTAGCATTTAGATTTAGTTACACTTCGCTTCTGAAGATGTCAACATCGTTGGCGGAAAGTACTTTAAGCACTTTGTGTTTTGTATTGGTGTTGAGGAATATTTCTAATATTTGTTTAGGTTAAATCTTGTTTAAGTTGGAGAAGAAACTTATTCTTTATTTAAAGATTAGTTTCTTTACATCGTTTTTGTAGGGAACGTAGGTCAAAACCTTTTTAGATTCTTTTTGTCAGGTCAAATCTTGTTTAAAGTTGGAGATGGAATTTATTCTTTATTTAAAGATTTGTTCTTTTAGTTCGTTTTTATTAAGGGTCGTAAGTCGAATTGTCATTAGTTTCTTTAAGTTGGATATGGAACATATTCTTTTTTAAAGATCATTCGTTTTTATCGTGTTTTTGTTTATTTAAATACTTAATCTGTTTTGAGAAATTTAAGGTTAATAATATGATGAGGAGGGTTGGAGGGTAACTCCGCCAGGTATTTTTAACCTGTCGGTCCCAAGCCCGAATAAAGGAGGAGGGCCCTCAATCTTTTCCCACCCACAAATCAGGCATAACAAAAAAGTTAATAAAAACTATTTTATCAATGAGTTGAATTGAATAAATTTAAGTCAACAATACATTTAAAGCACAGATTATACATTATTATTAAATAAATAGGTAGTTTTTTTTACAAAAGAGAGGAAGGCAGAAGTCTTACTCAACAAATTTTGCACAGCTAAATCGCGCAAGTTATTTGTGTTTTACGTTGCAAGGAAAAAATAACAAACTGGTTTAGTACTGGATTTCGATTGATTATTCTTTATATCATTGATTAAGCTTAAATGCTTATATAGTTACGTTGGTGTGTGTATTTTATCTAATGGATTATGGTGAATTATTGTGTTTTTAATTGCTAAAGGATCCAATTCGGTAAGTACATTTGTTGGTGCAGAATTAACTAATGGTAACTTTACCTAATACAATTTATATTTAAGTTTGGACATTTTTGAAATTGGTAAAATATAATTTTTGCACAAACATAACCTTAAAATCAACCATTTTTATATTTGAGTTCTCTAAAAAACGCCGACAACTGCGTTTTAAACAACAAAATACTTCTTTAGCGTATAATTAACAAGTAAATTATCAATAATAAATATTACTGTCAATTTGACAGTGTAAAAGTATTTAATTAAGGTCTTTAGCAGAAGTACCATTTTTTAAATATCTACTAAAAATACTAAATCCAACTGGCACAAGCTACCAACTTAATAAAAAAAATTAACTGTATACATATTTAAATTAATTTATATAATAAATTATTTGTCATACCTAATGATATTTGTGACTAAAATGGCATTTATAAAAATTGGCTTCATTGAGTACAACAAACTATATAGTTTCGTGAAGAATGTAATTGTGGTTATGATATAATTTTATGATTATGTTAATCAACTTTGAAATGTCAAATAAAAGTTTAAAAAAAATGCAATAACTTCACCTTTGATGAAATATGGGTGACATGTCAGATTTTATGGTAGTAGGTATACGAGGGGCAACTATATATAACGATCTATGACGATTTATATTTTATTAATTAATGCTTTTTCATTTGGGAATACAAAAAAACAGGATGTTTAATACGTAAGAAAAGTGAGTTTTCTACCTAGTGGAAATTTAAAAAATACTTGATTTTAGAAGAATCGCAATATTTAAAGCCTATACTTATTTAAAAAAAGGAAAGTAGTATACCTAGTATAAAGACTATATCAAGAAAAAATATTTAAGGTGAGTCTTAGTTTTATCCTTAACAATTTTAATTGTAAAATTGCGTAAATATTTTTTCTATTCTATTGAATTATAATATTTTATTACATTATAGCTACAACTATGCTTCTGAAGTCACATTTTAAAATCCGTGACTTTTTTACAACCCCAACTTATTTTTGCAAGTGTGGAACAGATGTCCAAACTGATTGATAAATCTGCGTAGCCATGGCCCTATACACAAAGGATAGCAAATAAGTGTAGGGATCTCGAATATTATTTTGTCGCATGTGTGTGTTGGGCCAATGAATATCAACTCTCCTTTCTGTATGCTGCCTAATATAAGTAAGACAAATGATCATCGAAATATGCCTACTTTTAACTTAAAAAAAAATATGGGCTATATTCAGGGAGGTCCCAATAATATTTTAATGTTTTATTTTGTATGTATTACAGTTATTTATTAACATAATGCAAGTAATAATATAAAGTAATATAGTTGTTTACCGGAGACGTCAACAGGTCAAATAATGCATTTTACAGGTACCTAAAATAATTGATTTTTATGGTAGACACTATTTAAAACCATGGCGCCAATTTATTATCTATTTTATTAAAACAAGTGAGTAGTAGATATTGTTTACTATTCATTGAAGTATTATGACTATAGTTTTATGTCGAAAGAGTTTAATATAAATGTACTCATAATTTAAATTATTTGAGGTATAAATATGTATTACATACGTACTTATAGCTAATGACTAAATAACTCTTGTATAATTAGGATGTTATAGATATTTAATAGGGGCTTTTGCATAGCTTGTGCATAAGGCAGGTATTATAAATTTTACATTCAATTCTAATTAAGGAGAATTCAAGAAACGTCAGTCTAATATTATAATTAAATTTTTTCAATAAAGAAAATTCTACTACCTACCAAAATAATAAACAAAGATGTAAATCATGAAGGGATTAAAAAACAAATGGCGTCTTACTGCTAAAATGTCACATTTTTAAAAATACAAAGTGGGTCATGTGACATATCATTTTAAAGGTCTTTTGAAGCTGATTATATGTAACCACTTATTTTTCCGATTGCACAGGGTGGAACAAAAAAAAATGATGATGATTTTTATAATCTAATAATTACATAATTTCCAGTTATTTTTTCTTTCATATTTGAAAGTATAAGATTTGTTAAAAAAACTTTTATAAAAAAAATTAAGTTTTAATTTTATTTTTTTTATAATTAAGCAAACTTTTTGGTAGGTACTTATTTTAGGCAAAATAAACTTTTGTTTTCAAACTTTAATTCATAATATTGTCTTCATCAAAAAACAATAAAATTTAAATTATATATAATATATAATATTGTATTTATGGATACATATATATATATATATATATAGATATATATAGATATATATATATTGTATTTATGGATACATATATGTATCCATAAATACAATACAACTATTGTCTGGTCAAGTGCCAGGCAAGGGCCAATAAAACGGCATAAAACTCGTAATCCGCCCCAAAATCAAAATCCCATCATCTGTGTCTGCGATTGTCAAATTTTTCGGCACCACCCCAACCCGTAGGTACGACTCCTTAAATACCAATCCAGATACGACTTAAGCACAGTTTCTTGACAGATTTCGTGGGCCGCACTTCACTTACTTAAAACTATAAAAGTTTCAGTTTCGTACTTATGAGTCTTTTGAGACTGTCTCCCAGTTTATTTCGGTTCGAGCTTTGAAAGCTTTCAAGACTGCATGCGTTTTAAAGTGGCTAGTTAATATGAAGTGGTTGTACGTTTTTTTCCTGGTCGTATTGCCTGGTATGTATTTTTTTGTTTTATGATTGTTTGATGTTAATTGTTTCTTCTTAAACGATTCATGTAACGTATAATTTTTAAAACTTTAAAGTGAGGTTATATATCTGACAGAAGTAAATTTTCAGTATTTTAATAAATTTCTATTTTTTTTTATTTTCTTAATTGATTTTTTTTAAATCCATAAATAATGTCAAATAAATACACCACTTTATGACGTTTAGGATTAATTTATTTTTTGTATTATTTTTGTTTAGTTTATACGGTATAAATTATATCATTGCAGTGTCGATTAAAAAAATACAGGCATTTTAATAAGATTTAAGATTTTAATCAAGAAAATTGAGTAGATTTTTTGCTTTGTTTTTGAGATACTTGGTAAATATTTATTAAAAAAAATTAAAAACTTCTTGACCGAATTTAATAAATCCAGGGGCGGCGCTAGAAAATTTTGGTACGCTACTGCTTTTTTATAATTTTTATATTATTTTTAACAACTAAAAAATTAAACATAAAAAAAATTTTGTCTTTGCATTTTTCTCTAAAAATTAACTTCGTTCATTATTTTTTTTATTTTGGACGTTTCACCAATTGCTTCAATTTCCTCAGAAGGTACCTCATTTTTGACAGGGAGTAAAATTTCAGTAACCGTTTCTGAAACGTTTTCTTCAGTTTTTGACGGCTCGTTGATTTCTTTAATTTTTTCAGATTAAAATTATTATCTTCTTTAATTTCTGTGTTCTTCCATTTCGTTGAAAATTTCTTCGGAAGCCCTTAGAAGTGTGGTTTGTTTATTAATGAAAATTTCTTCAATTTTTGGAGTAGTGGTTATTATTTCCGGTATAATTGTTGCAATTGTTTCAATTTCAAGAGTTGTTTGTTATGAAAAAGGTAAGATTGTGAAGATTTCTAAAGATTTGTTTGGTTCTTCAGTCACAACGGATGATTTTTCTAAAGAAGATTAAGAAAATTGTATTCTTTCAAAATTGTTTCTTCAATTTTTGAAGTTGTTACAGGAGTAATCATTTTATCAATGCTGGGGGTAGGTGCACCATGGTAAAAATTCTGTTGTAGTTTCAATATTATTTACAGTATTTTGTTCAATTTTAGGAATTTCTTCAGTTGAAACTGTTTCTTCAATAGGATCAGTTGTAATAACCATTTCTTGTGTGTTATCTTCAATTTTAGATTTTTCGGTGGTGGTTGATTCAAGTACTGTTGTTAACATTATATTTTTATTAATTAAATCTTTAGTTGTTAAATTTTTTTCTGTAACTTCTTCAGTTTTAACGATTATTTCAGATTTATCAGTGGAGGTTGATTCAAGTATTGTTGTTAACATTATAATTTCTTCAGTTTTGGTTTCTTCAGCGGTAACTTTTTCTTCAGTTTTGGGTGGTTCTTCGAATTTTTTTCGGTAGTAACACCAAAATATTGAATTTTTAAATAAAGCAATACAAAATTTTTTGTTTTTTGTAAAAATTATATAATTTGAAATTATAAATTATATAATTTTACCATATAAAACACTCACAGGCAAAATAATCGATCCACACAAATTTTCGATGAATTTCAATCGCAATTAACTTGTTTATTTGATGTCGAATTTAAACGAATATTAAAGAATATTGTAGATAAATTAATGAACAATCGCTCACAATTTAAAAAATTACTAAAAAATAGACGTACGTTTATAATATACAGGTTTAAACAAAAATATGTTTTTTACCATAAGTTTAAGACACTCTGTAGAGTGGCAAAACCGTATATTTTTCTAAATTAAGTTTTATTTATCAAGTCACATCTATTTTTTACAGTTTTGTTTTTGGTTTACCTTGATATACTTATTTTTGTGAAAAATATGGATTTTTAAAAAAAACAATTCAATTTTTCCTGTATGAAGAACTAAGGTTGCTATGGTATATTATAAACGTACGTGTATTTTTTAGTAATTTTTAAAATGTGAGCGATTCTCCATTAGTGTAACTACAATATTCCTTAAAATTTGTTTAAATCCGAAATTAAATAAAAAAGTTATTGGCGATTGAAATTCATCGAAAATTTTCGATTATTTTGCCTGTGAGTGTATAAATATATATAATATAAATTTTTTGATTGCCCAAACGAGTTTTTATATACTAGCAGGTAAAAACTTACTGACAATCTAAATTCAAACTAATATAAAATAAACAGTATTTTACTTGACTTAAATAATATATTTTTTTAATCTTTTTGTGGAAGATTATTTGAAGTACCCTGTATAGAAACCATCCACCTAATTAGAATAAAAATCTCAAAAAACCCATTTTTTATGTAAACAAACCAGCTTCTGTTCGAACAGCCGCACCAATTCATCATAATTTGTAAAATCTCCGACCATTCTGAACCATGTGTTTTGGATATTCCAGGAAATTCCCCTTGGCTTATTTATTTACTTTACACACTTTACCATTCATTCACGTAGTCTCGACTCTGAAAATCAGATAATATAATTTATTGGCCATGAAAAGTCATCTGTTTTGGATTTGGCCCACTACGCTTGTTTATCTTAATTAATTTTAAGGGTTTAAGTAATAAACGGCCGTGGTAATTGATAACACCTTGTATGTTACCTTAAAAAGTAGTTAGATTTTAAATATTAGTATTTTGTTACACGGATCATATGATTTTTTAATAAAATAAAATTTTGCTTAGAAGGCTTTGGAAAAATGTATTTTTAACCATATCTCAGTTATTTTAAAAGATACATATGTCGAGTAAAAACTCATTTTTCATATTTTTTTATTATCTAAAACATAAAGCAACAATCTGTTAATGATTTGGCCGACTACGCTTGTTTATCTTAATTAATTTCAAGGGTTCAAGTAATAAACGACGATAAGACAGCCGTGGTAATTGATAACACCTTGTATGTTACCTTAAAAAGTAGGGTTTTTAGTTAGCTTTTAAATAATGTATCATTATGTATACTTTGTTTAACGGAACATATGATTTTTTAATAAAATAATATTTCGCTTAGAAGGCTTTGGAAAAATGTATTTTTAACCACATCTCAGTTATTTTAAAAGATAAATATGTCGAGTAACCACTCATTTTTCATATTTTTTTATTCTCTAAAACATAAAGCAACAATATTTAATGTACCCAAAACGATATCGGACATTAACTATTAATTTTTTCGTTTCAGTGGTTCTATGCCAAGAACACGAGCCAGCCGCTGTCGCAGATGCAGGCAGTAAAACTTTAAGTGGCATTTTAAAAATAGCGTCTTCGGAAATATTAAGCGATGATGGACACACAACCGAACCGAATATGTTATTAACAACCCTGTTTGAAACCGCATTTGCTTCCTTTGACAAAAACAACGACACCATTGAAAATGTGAATCACGAAACAGAGACGCCGTTTGTTAACATGGAAACTCAAGTGGGTAATGTAAATATTAGTAATGAATCAAATGACACTTCCTATATAGAAGGTACTACGGAAATGAACACAATAATAAGTAGGTTTTTGAATAAAACCACTGATGTGACAAATACAGAAACAAATGAAGAAGTTACAACTGTCAACAGTTTGGGTACAATTGATGGAGGAAATATTGCAAATGAAATGTCCACAGTTCAAAACAATGAAAAAGAAGAAATATTTACGGAAGATCTACAATCAGCAACTGAGAAAATATCTGAAGAAATTAATACAACACCAAAAACCAAAGAAGATTCAACTACTGAAGAATCTGAAACGGAAGAAAACATTACCGAAAAAGAAGAAATATTTACTGAAGATCTACAATCAGCAACTGAGAAAATATCTGAAGAAATTAATACAACACCAAAAACCAAAGAAGATTCAACTAATGAAGAATCTGAAACGGAAGAAAACATTACCGAAAAAGAAGAAATATTTACTGAAGATCTACAATCAGCAACTGAGAAAATATCTGAAGAAATTAATACAACACCAGAAACCAAAGAAGATTTAACCACTGAAGAAAACATTACTGAAAATGACCTTCTGGCTCCTGAAGAATCAAAAATTGAAGAAATTAAACCAACTCCCGATAATAAAGAAGAAATATACACCGAAAAACCACAAACCACAATTTTTTCAACCTCTACCGAAAAACCTAACCCAATCTCCAAAACTGAAGACATTACTGAAACTGAAGAAATTACTGAAAAACTGTTCATTACCACTGAGAAATTTGAAGAAGCAGAAGTTACTGAAAATGCCCTTTTTGCTGAAGAATTAAAAACTGAAAAAACTACAGAAAAAATAGAAGCGATTCCTGAATATAAAGAAGAAATATACATTGAGGAACCACAAACAAGAATTCCTTCAGACACTACCGAAAAAACTGAAGAAATTAATGAAAAAATGTTCATTACAACTGAAAAACTCGAAGAATTATCTAAAACGGAAGAAAGAGTTACTGAAAATGATGTTTTAGCTGCTGAAGAAATGTTGGCAACAACTGAAAAAATCACCAATGAAAAATTCGAAGAAGAATCAAAAACTGAAGAAATTACAATGTTAACAACAATACTTTCATCAACCTCCACTGATAAATCTGAAATCATCGTTAAAACTGAAGAAGTTACAGAAAATATGTTAACAACTAAAGAATTAATTAATGAAAATGAAGAAATATTTACGGAGAATCCACAAACAACAATACTGTCTTCAACCACCAACGAAAAATCTAATATTGAAGATAACACACAAGAAATGGTTATTACAACTGATCCTATTGAAGAAAAAGTGGCAACTGAAGAAATTCCTAAAATTGAACAAACTACTGTAAATATTATTGAAACTACAACAGAATTTGTACCTTCTACTCCTAGCATTGATGAAATGACTACTCCTTTAACAACTCCAAAAATTGAAGAAACAAATTTTGATACAGAAAAATCAACCGTTGTGACAGAAGAACCAAACAAATCTTCAGAAATCTTCACAATCTTACCATTTTCACAACAAACAACTGAAATTGAAACAATTGCAACAATTATACCTGAAATAAAAGCCACGACTCCAAAAATTGAAGAAATTTTCATTAATAAACAAACCGAACCTCTTTCAAAGGCTTCTGAAGAAACCTTCAACGAAATAGAAGAACACACAATTAAAGAAGATAACCAAATCTTAGAACCTTCTGAAAAAATTAAAGAAATCAAAGAGCCGTCAAAAACTGAAGAAAACGTTGCAGATACGGTTACTGAAATTATACCACCTGTCAAAAATGAAAAAGTATTTGCACTTTTTGAGAAAATTGAAGCAATTGATGAAGCATCCAAAAATGAAGAAACCACAGTTGTTCCAATTGCTTCTGAAAAAATGTTCACTGAAACAGAAGAACACATAACAGAAAATGTACAACCTGTCAAAATTGAAGAAGATAACAAAGTCGTCGTACCTTCTGAAGAAATTGAAGAAATCGACGTGCCGTTAAAAACTGAAGAAATCGTTTTAGAAACAGTTACTGAAATTAAAGAAATTGAAGAACCGTCCAAAAATAAAGAAACCATTCCAGAAAAAGAGTCATTCCTTGACTACGCATCATCAATTATTGACAGGGAAAATGAAGAAAGTAATATTAAAGAAGAATCTACTACCAAGGTGAATTTTGAAGAAACGGATAAATCAGTTGATACAAATAATTTTGAGATCAAGGAAAATTCAATAAGTGAAGAAACAACAACTGAAACAGAAATGGAAATGATTACTGAAGAAATTAAAGAAGACAAAGATTTTGAACATATCACCACTGAGAGCAATTTTGAAACAGTACCTAAAATTATTTTTGTTGAATCGAATGAAAACAAAAATAAAGATAAAGTTTTAGAAACTACCGAAGAAATCACCATCACTACTCAAAAAGCAGAAATAACTTCTAAACTTGAAGAAACTGAACAAATACCTGAAGAAATTAATACAACAATTAAAAATGAAGAAATTTATATTGAAAGCATAACAGAGATGACCACAGAAAATACTCTAGTTGAAACAGAAGAAAACAAAATAAATGAACAAAGAGTTTCTGAAACAACTACTGAACAAATTGGAATAATTTCTAGAAATGAAGAAATTACAACTGCAGCTGAAGAAATTACCACCGAAAATATAAAAATATCTGAAGAAAATGATGAAAATTTACCTGAAGAAAGTGCAACAACTACTGAAAAAGTCAAATTAATCTTTGAAAAGGAAGAAATAACAACCGAAAGTAACGAATATTTAGTATCTTCCGAAGCAACTGAAAAAATACCTACAGAGATTAATACAACAATAAAAAATGTAATTACCACTGAAAACTTAATTGAAAATTCTGAAGAAATAAAAACCAACAAAGTTTTTAAAAATGAAGAAAATGAAACTGAAAAAACTGCAACAACAATTAAAAATGAAGAATTAACCACTGAAAATATTATTAAAATTGAAGAATTTCAAACTACCGAAATACAAGAAGAAACTAAAACAATGAATAAAAATGAAGATATTATAACTTTGGAAACTACAACAGAAATATTCTTAGAAGAAGAAATAACCACAGAAATGTCAAGAAATGAAGACAAGTCTAACGAAAAAGAAAGCGAAACAAGTGCTGAAAAAGATAAGTCTTCTTCATCATCATCATCATTATCATCATCATCGGAAGAATCTGATGAAGAATCTTCAAAAGGAGAAGAACAAGAAAACACAGCGGCGGAAGAAAAAATTTTCATTGAAGAAGTATTTAGGAAGAATTTAGTAACCACAGAGCAAAATGTTGCTGAGAAAGAAGAAAATCAAACCACAATTTCTTCACTTAAAAATGAAGATAATTTGCAAAACTTAATCCTTAATCCTGAAGATTTCAGCAATATGGTTGACGGAAAGTTACAAATTGTACATGACATTACTGAAATCAAAAATGAAGAAATTACTACTACAGAAAAAGTTATGATAAATGAAGAAATTAGTAAAACACCTGAAAAAGTTTATGTCATCTATGCGGAAAGTGTCTATGAAAATGTTAAAGAAGACGGTTTTGGAAATAAAGAAATCGTCGAAAAAGAAGAAATTGAAGAAAGTTTAGAAAGCAAAGAAAATAACACTGAATCGAGCAGTTCCAGCGAAGAAAATACAACAAATGAAGATGTCAACGGGGTTGTAATTAATGAAATAGTAAACACCAACAGTAATGAACCTGAAAACAAAAATAAACTGGATGATGTAAATGAGGTGACTGAAAATTATTTAACTACCACTGAAGCAGAGCTAAAAATAAAACAAAGTAAGTGATTTTATTTTAATTATACACATTCTTAATTTAAGGTATTAAGTTTCTTTATTTATAGTATCATTATTTTTAGATGAAATATTGGAGTACAGCACTGAAATAAACGTTGTGGAGATCGTGAATGGCGAGAGAATCGTAAAGAAACTCGAAGAATATAGAAATCGAAAGTTACTAGGCGAAGACGAAATATTAAACGATGAACCAGTGAAGAAACCTATGAGTGGCGATGAAGATTATGAAAGCCTTTCTTCTATTTTTAACGTTAAAGACGGCGACTTGAAAGAAATGGACGATTCCCCCTACCAGAGTGAAGATATTGAGGATATTTCGGAGATGTTTACCGAAGAGGTTAAGTTTGAAGAAAAGGTTAAGGATACAACTGAATTGGATGGCATTTTTACCAAGAAAACAGAGAGTGAAGAAGTTATTGAAGAAAAAGTAGAAGAAACGGTTGTTAAAGATGAAGATGATGAAGAGGAAGATGCAACATCAACTGAAGAAATAACCACGAAAGAAGTCGACACAACCACTGAAAAATTATTGAAAGTAACCACAATTTCATTTGAAAAAAATGATGTGGTTGTTGAGAACAATAATTCAGTCAAAGAAATTAACAAGTTTAAGTCTCTGGAAAATAACCACAGTGACATAAATGTAATAAAATTGCTTTTGGACGGAAAATTTGGTAATGATGTTAAAGTTATCCCCAAAAATCCTACAAATTTCATCGAGGGTGTTTTTAATGCTAAACCATATAATTTTACGTTGGGGATAGAAACTGAGGTATGTTTATTATTAAAAAATTAAATTTGTTTTTAATTGGTATTTAATTTTTTTTTAGAATGGGACGATTTTTGTCCCAGGAAGTGCAAGTCTTTTTAATATTGAATGCGGTGTCAATATAACTTGGAGGAATGATAAAAATTCAAACAATTCTATAACATTGCAACTAAATAATAAGGAATACGAATATTTGGATAGTATCACTATAGAAGTAGTAAAAAGTAAGTTACACGTATATTTTTATGACTATTAGTAATAATATAATAATATTTTAGAAAAGAAAACCATAAGTGACAAATTCATAACAAAAAGTCATGATTTACCAAAAAAAGAGGACCAATTATTTGTATTTCCTTCCGGAGTAACTTTGAGGTTTTCAAACTTGGATTTTTTGGAAAACCTATGTTATTTACAAGATAAAGGTAATATTTCCACAAAATAATATTGTTCAAAAAATAATGTTCATTTTTCTTTTCAGTTTCCCTAAAACAATCAGGCTCGTTCATGGGACCAATGGGCTTGAACATAATGACAGTGTTGTTCACAGTACTAATAGTTAGCAGTGTAATATTGTACTACGTTTTGAGGTCCAAGAAGAACAAAGCTGTTATTACAGGGGAACCATGTGCAACTTCCTCAAAATTGCAGGTTTAGATTTTAATATGACTTATAAAGAGTTAAGACCAAAAAATTAGTTAGGTTAGGTTTAGTCTACAGATTTATTGTTAATAGATTTTTTATACTTAATATATTTTGTACGGTTTTGTATATAGTAGGATAAGTATTGTACATAGTTTAAATATAATAAAATATATTAAATAACGTTTATTATATTATATAATTAACCTTTCAAAAATAATTGTTTTAAACATATAACACGCTTTCACAGATAATTTACAAAATTAGCCCGGTGTATCATCCCGTAAAAAACTGTAACACCTGGGGTATAATTATATTTAATGTTTCATCACCCAAAACATACAAATTGATAAAAGCAGATGTTCCCCTTTTATTCTAGCCAATTAACAGTATTGTTTCCATAGGGATGTTTCATCTTTTGTAACAATTAGTCTTTAGCTTGAAATATTGAAATATCAGTTATTTATTTTTTAAATTTATTTATTTATTTTGTTTTAATATTCTGCTAACACTGCTCTGGGATATTCCCAAATCTTTAGATAACTCTCGTGTGCTTGCATGAGGATTAGCGGCCGTTGCTGCTAATACATTAATTTCATTATTTCCATTATAGAAAAAAGAATATTTTCAATCAGACAAATCAATGATAAAAATCAATTTTATTCCAAATTCTTATAAAAAAAATCATGCATTGAAACGGTATGATTAGAAAATCTAAATTCAACCGCTATATTGCCGACTATTGAAATAAAAAATCAATTATTTGTAACGGTTTTTCCAACTACTACTATTACTATCACTATAACCATAGCTTACGTAGATTTATGTGGGGGAGCGATACCCTACCATATACTCCCACCCTAATAACAAATGCAACCCTACTACACCGCTGATTGGTGAGACAGCACGAGGTATCTTCGATGATAAATTCAAACATAATACTCAGTTTGGATTTAAACTTTGAGTCATAATCAGCATTAAAATGACTTCCTATGTGTGCAAGTTGATCATTTTGGACTCCAAATACGAGCATAAAAGTGTTAAAACTGTTTGTAGCAGTAAAGACAAGATTAGTTCTGCTAAAAAGTGTTTATTTGGTGTTTCCAATCCTTTGGATACTGAGGTCATGTTGGAAGAGCAACTGAAGATGGAAAAAAGGAGATTTGAAGAACGATTTGGGTTTAAAATGGAAGATTTGGATGATTTAGAGAGGCAACAGGAAGAAATTAATAATGTCTACAGTGATAAAGTGAAAAAAGTTATTTCTGTTAAGAGTAATGTATCTATGGTGAAAAATAAAAACAAACGCGGTCAACCACTTTTAACAGGTATTGTTTATATTTTTTTTATAATTTTTTTTATATAACATTTTTATTTTGTTGCAGATTATTTAAAAACGCAAAAATCCATACCAAAGAGAGTCAAAAAGGAGTTTTAATTTTTTTCATAACACATAATTTATTGGTATTCTAGTCAAAAATGTAAAATATCATATCCTATTTATTTGTACACTATAATAGAAATAAATCTATTTATTATATAATTTATTTAAATCAAAAATAATTTTAAAATAAAATAATATTTATAACTAACTTTTTTTTATTTAAATAATCCCCATAATATAAGTAGGTATCATATCTATTAAATATTACTTAGTCAAAACATTTTTTTATCTAAAAATTATTTATATACCTACATAACTACGTATACAAACATGTTTTGTATTTTTTAACTAATTTAGTATTTCAATTATATTTTAAAATGAAGTCGCTGTATTTTTGTATTTGTATATTTCTTGTTATAAAAAATGTTTCTTTAAAATATAATGAACGAGATGCCACGGATATGATGGATTTTTTAGTTGATGTGATTGGTGATATTAATACAAGAAAATTATCGAAAAATTGCGAAGAAATTTTTAAAATGGTTCCTGATGGGGTAAAACATTTGGAAACTTTAGCTTATGATAAGTACAAGTATCTTGAAAACAAGTTTTAATTTATAAAAGTTTCACGATAATCTACCCATAAAAAAATTATACACCCAGTATATTATACCACAGACTTCCTTTTACTTTTTAGTTTATGATTCAAGTGTGGATAATATGGAACCTGGAATACTAAAAAACGTTCCTTATAATTTAGGATTTTTTGACGAATGTCTAGGATTTAAAAGTGAAAATTACACAGGAAGATATTGTTTGGGGGAACGAGAATCGTCTTTAATAAACGTAAGGTTCAAAAATAAAACATCAATTTTGTTCGATTTTTCTTCCTATACGATTCTGCAATAATTTTTCTATAAAAACATCACTTTTTTTGGTAATAATTATCTTATTAAATTAAATCTGATTTTTTTAAGTACCCACGATTTTTTAACTAATATTTAAGTTTCCTTTGGTTTAAGTTTTATACATTATTTCATTCGGTAATAATTATCGTTTGCGCACCATGGTCACTTTTTACCTGCCAGTATTATTGTACTATTTTTAATAAAAATACCTCGAGGTATAATGATCATTTAAGGAAAAAAACACATTATTTTGTCAATTAATTAATTTAATCCTAATAATTATTATCAATTATTGAGGTATAAAAAAAATAGGGTGTTCCTTGAAAATTTTAAAATTCTAAACTTTTGACATTTTTTAGTTAACCACGACATTTTTGGACACCAATGAAAAATTTCTGTTGATCCAAAATTCAAACCAATATTTATTTAGAAGAAACACTAGTGATGTCGTTAAAAGTTATAACGGGAGATGTCTACCAACTGTCTGCAATGAAAATGACTTTAAATTAGTTTTTGGAGACACCGTGTATAACAAGTCATGTTATACCAAGGATTTGGGTAAAGAATTGCCTGGGAAAACTCGTATGACAATGTAATTTCCAATAGGAAGTATTAAAAGTTTTTCTAGTAAAATTTTGTTTTAGATACTTACTTGGTGCCTTAATTATTTTGGTGGTCATATCTTCTGTGTATGAATATTTGACGTTTGCTATTAAAAAAAGTAATTTATCAATAGTATATGTATATGTTTCACACTTTTTTATTATTTTAGTGCCCTATTGCGAAATATGTACAACCTTTTCTGTCATAACAAACTCCAAGAAGTTATTCAAAATACCTGAAAATACAGATACAGAACTTCTTTGTTTAAATGGTTTAAAATCGTTAAGTATTTTTTGGATTATTTTTTACCAAGAATGGAAAATATTGTCTATGGGTCCTGTAGACGATTACGATAATATTTTACGTGTAAGTACAGTTCATTTTTTTTATTTTTAGTATTTAAAAAATGCAGTAAAAAAGTAACTTTTTGGTTTTACAAATATTAAATTACAAATTACTTTCAGCTTGAAATTTTAAAAAATTAGGGGGAAATAAAAAACAAAAAATAAAAATTATTTGCTGTTAGGTTAAACCTTTCTGTGAAAAATCTAGTAGTTAATTTTCCTGTCTTTGAAAATAGCATCCATTTGATTTGAAAAAGATAAGCAATAATCACCAAACTTTTCTTCTTTCAATTTGCAAGTTACTGATCATTAATAGTCATGAACAATATATACATTATAATTATTATTAAGCCACTACAAGTATTAACGTCCAGTGGCTTTAACAAAATACCCATTCACCATTGGAGTCCAATTATTGGACAACATTCACGTGGGTTCGCATAAAATTTTAATTTCTTTTATATAAATTTTTTTCAAAACGAAGATTATTCGCTAGGAATACTTTGTCTCTCTATATTTAACTATTTTTTATATGATTTTACTCACCAAAAAAAGAACTTTATACTACAGTGTGTTCTTAATAATTTGTAAATTTTATGTTTTAGTTTCTTGATAAAAAACTTAACGTGTTTTTTCTACAAGGGGAAATGGGGATTGATACTTTTTTTACTATTGGAGGAATTTTAACTTCATACAACGTCATGAAAAATTACCGCAAAAAAGAGCATTTTGGATTTTGCGATGTTTTAAGGATAACTTTGCATAGAATTGCTAGGTAAATATAGGGTAAGGTTTCCTATATTGAATAACTAATTAATAAAATATAATGTGGACTTTTCAAGAGAGGACAGGCCCGTAATATAAATAAAAGTAGTAAATAGTAAAAATACAAATTTACGTATTATTATCAAACTCTTGATGAATGTAATATTTCAAATTATCTTTTTGTGACGTTGCCAAATTTCCAAAAATGACAGATTCTGAAAATTGTTGTTTTGCGATGTTGCCAAATTTTACGAAATTCCCAGTATCTGGGAAATTTTCAAAATATTCAGGCAACCTTCAGTAAGTCATCTTAATCTTTTTAGCGCTGTTGCCAATTTTTCAAAAACTTCCTGAATCTCAGAATTTTCAAAAATGTTCCGGATATCTTTAGCAAATCATCTTGTGTAGCTAAATTTTGAAGTGTTGTCAAATTTACAAAAATTCCCAGAACCTGAGTTTTCAGATCTTCAGGATAAATTCATTAAGTCATCTTGCATAATGATTTTTTTGCATATATGCAGTTTATGAATAATGAATAAAATTTTATTTAAAATTGTTTTTTTTTTATATTATTTTAGGTTAACGCCACCTTTGGGAATTATGGTATTGATATATGCCACTGTGTTGCCTGAAATAGGTACTGGTCCCCTTTGGAAAAATATGGCAGATTCCTTATCAACACCTTGTAATCAATACTGGTGGAGTACTATACTGTATGTTCAGAATTATGTGAACCCTGAGTCTTACGTAGGAAATAATTTAAAAAAATAAATATTTGTCTATGTATTTTTTCGTAGTGTATTGTTCAGTCATGGTATATATCAGCGGATATGCAACTGTTTTTAATTAGTGGTTTTATTTTGCTTATGTTGGTAAAATTTCCGAAAACCACCATTGTATTTATTTTGGTATTAATTTTCATTGGTTTTGGAGTCAACTTTAACATAAGCTACGTATATGAATTACCGAATGGAATATTTATTCTGGAGTAAACTTTTAAACTTTTTATTTTAATATGAAAGTTATTAAAAATGTTTTAGTGAAAAATCTGACGAATATTTTAAAAAATTCCACTCAATGCCTTACTGTCGCTACTCAGTATATTTACTGGGGATATTATGTGGTTGTTCACTTCACAAACTAAAAAAAAAAAGTTTGACCTACAAATTGACAATGGTAAGTCCAAACTGGATTCTTATTGGATGAAGCGAATTTACAAAAAAAAAATTGTGGTTTTAGTTAGGCAATGTTATAGCATGGATAATAACATTACTGATAATAATTGGTTGCATATTTTCTCCATTATTTATTACAGATAGAGAAAAAAATATCGTAGTAAATTCTATTTATAATTCTGTAATAAAACTCATTTTTTCTATGGGGATTTGTCTTTTGGTATTATTATGTGCTACAGGCAATGGGGGTAAGTAAAAACTACATATAATTTAATTAAAAAATACTACTTTAAAATTTTAGGTTTTATAAGCAAGTTTTTATCCCTTAAGATTTTTAGGGTGTTATCAAAATTGGTATACCCTTCTTATTTGATACATTTTGCTGTGATATCATGCAGGGTTTTTTCTACAAGAAGTGCCTATTCAATATCAGAATATTATGTTGTAAGATTTATATATTTAACTGCACTACCTACTCCTTTTATAATTGAATTTTAGGTTTTTAACTATTTTGGAGACCTTATTGTAACATTTATATTAGCAGCCATTTTAGCCATATTAATAGATTTTCCATGTAGGGGAATTTATAAAGTTATCTTTGAAAAAAGTAAAAAAAAAATATTCTTTTCGAAAAAAAATTAAATATATTTTTTAGATTGTTGTGAAAGAAGATTGAGCAAGTTTTTGGAAAAATCTAGACCCCATGAGTCATCATTAAACCAATGAAATTAAAGGGAAAATGAAACATTTTATGATTCTATTTATTTATTTTGATATTTTTACACTAATATAGGTAACTACATTTTATAACGTAGTAATACATGGTTTTTATATAATTTATTGTCATTTTATTTAGAAAATGTAATACAGGGTGTCCTACGCGTCACAGAAAAATGGAGATGCCAAATTTAAAAATAAAAATGTCTAAGGTTTCTGTGGCGCGAGTTCTGGGACACCCTGTATATTGTAAAGAAATTATATGTTTTTTGATATGCTACAACATTACATAGACACCTATAATTCATAGTAGGTATAAATTATTTTTTTTAGAAAAATGTTCAAAATTATTATTTTGTAAATAAAAGATACTTACAATCTGTTATTCTTTATTTAAAATTCTACCCAACCTGTTAATTAAAAAAAACTTGGACTTGTTATCAAATATCCAATTATCATGTGTCTCAGTGTTACTTCTGAACACATGGACAAGGCCTTTTTTCAACTGTTTCAGTGCACGGTTTGCCCGATTTCGATTGGGCCAAAACGAACCGCCTTCTTGATGAAACTTCGTCCACGCAATTCGAGCTGCATAGACTCCAATTGGTCCACTGAGAAAAAAGACAGTCGCGCGTTTCGCGGGCGATTTCTTTCACGTTGTTGCAGGCTACGTAGCATTTTCTAGTTCTCGCCAGTTTTTTCGGGCATTCTTTTCCACCGTTGCGAGGGTAAACCTGAAAATGTGAGTCAGCAATATACTTAAAATATACTTAAATATACTTTTATTTTTCGCGTTTTGATCTTTTTGCCCGCTCCGCATTCACGTTTCGATATACAGGGTCCGTAATCTGTCCAAGGTGATAACACACAATCGTTTTTTCCACTTGGCTTGCCTTTCAGTATAATTATTTTTGATGATATGTTTGTTGGGTTTTGATGTTCTGAAAACATACAATACTGTGAAATATCCTGATTTTGTAGTTATTAATGTTACCTATAGTTGAGTTTCTAATAAAAATAACGGCTGAAAATAATCGTAAATAAAAATATATTTAGTTTTAGTTGAATTCTTACCATATGGTTGTTCGTTTTGAACGTTGTATGAAACTATTCCTGAAAGGCTGACATTCACGTCTTTTTTCTTTGAGGAGTAATTTGCTAACAATTCTTCTAAAATATAAAATACTATATTAAATGTCCATCAATCATCAAAAAACATACCTTGGTTTTTATAACACAACTTTTGACATTGTTCCAAGGTATTAAAATTATTCAAATTTCCTTCACAACCACTATAATTAAAAATCTCACACTCTCCTTTAATATTATTGTAATACCACCTATCCATAGTACTTTTACATGGACCAACATCCATAGGCAGCTTACAAACAATACCTAAAAGAATGTAAACAGTGGGGGCTATATTATTAGAAATTTTTCATTTCAAATTAAAAAAGATATACCCTTTAAATTCATTTTTAAACTACTTTAAAAAAATTAGGAAAATCCGAAAAATTCCTTAAAGGCAAGAAAAAACATTTTTTTTCAAACAAAGTTTTTTCAACAAAGTAAGAAAAAACATAATTTATTTTTCAAAGAAGGTTTTATATTACTTTTTTACCCTTAGATTTTTAAATTAATTTTTAAACTGAGCCCCAAAAAAAATCAGAAAAATGTATTAAAAGGTAAGAAAAAAACATCATTTTTATACAAGGTTTTTTTCTTACTTTTTTACCCTTCTGAAGGTAGGTACTCCCAAAGAAAACTTTGTTAATTTAAAAATCCAAAATAATTTTTAAATTAATTCTTAATTCTTAACCTGAGCCTAGACAACTTAAAAAAAAATTAGAAAAATTTCTTAAAAGGCAAGAAAAAACAATTTTTTTTCAAACAAAGTTTTTTTACCACTTAAAAAAAATCAGAAAAATTTATTAAAAGGTAAGAAAAAAACATAATTTTTATTTTAATCAAGGTTTTTTTTTAATTTTTTACCCTTCTGAAGGTACTCCCAAAAATTCGGATTTTTAAATTAATTTTTAACCTGAGCCCCAACCAATTTAAAAAAAAATCAGAAAAATTTATTAAAAGGTAAGAAAAAAACATCATTTTTATACAAGGTTATTTTCTTACTCTTTTACCCTTCTGAAGGTACTCCCAAAGAAAAAATCTGAAATAATTTTTAAATTAATTCTGAACCTAGACCACTTTAAAAAAAATCAGAAAAATTTCTTGAAAGGCAAGAAAAAACAATTTTTTGTCAAACAAAGTTTTTTCTTACTTTTTTATATTTCTGAAGTTACTTCCAAAGATTCAGATTTTTAAATTAATTTTTAACCTGAGCTCTGACCACTTAAAAAAAATCATAAAAATTTCTTAAAAGGTAAGAAAAAAACATCATTTTTATTTCAAATAAGGTTTTTTCCTACTTTTTTACCCTTCTATAAACACTTTTTTATTTTGATCCAAACCCCATTAAAAAGTCTTTTAATAAAAACTTTATTAAAAACACTGTACATATATAAGACTTAAATTTTATCTATGTCCTGGTTTTTAATATTTTCAACCTCTTAACCCCGTCAAAAACTTGCTCCATTACCTGTAAGAGGGATCTCCAGTTTGGCACACGGGCTGTTGTTGCACTCGACTGTTTCTTTCAATTTTTGGGTGCTACAAGGATCTTCAATGTCGAATTCCTCGTTACCTCGGTCGTTGGAGTACCCGAATTTTTTATAGAAAGGCCAGTAAAAACGGTCTGTTTTGGTATACTCCAAGGAGAGTCTGTATCTTTCCTTAATGCCCTTCCCGCAAGTTGTCGAACACGGAGACCAGTCACTCCAAGGCTTTTCAGCGCAGTTTTCAGACGACTGAAACTGAAAACGTGGCGTCAAATGATGTACAGTTGTATTCAATAAAAAAGCGAACAAGAATAAGAATGAGAGAAAACTGTCAAAATAATATTATTGCTTAAATTAAATTTAATACAATATTTGAATAATATCTTCCCAGCAGTATAGTATAGTATAGTTTTCCATAAATCCTCAGATATCCCAAAAAAGCAGCATCCTGTTCAGGGTTGGACATTTTGGGACGATCTGAACCAACTTTTTGGTTTAGTAAATCTTTCTGTTCCCAGCGTTGCTTAATTTTTAATATAGATATTTTATTTCTATTATACCACAGTACGAATTTATCATTCTTCTTCGATTCTTGATACTATTTGAGCCTTTTTAACTGACGAGGCATTTTTATTTTCTACTGTCAGTTATAGTGACTTAAGTCAGTGGAAAGCCGGTTTTACGCAATAATGTTGACAGTTTTCTCTCATTCTAATTCTTGTACGCTTTTTTAATGAATACAACTGTACCACAAAAACTCACCTCATCTTCTTCATAATCATCACATTTGGATTCCCCAATACACTCCAAATTCTGCTGCATTACAGCTCTTCTAGCCTTACCAGCGGAGCAAGTCTTGGCCGCCAACCTATTTTTATACCTTCTATCCCTGGTTTTGGTGCCTTTGCCACACGATGCGCTGCAACTAGACCACTCGGACCACGGCCCAGGCTCACACAACGGGTCTGGAAGTTCCTTCGAAGGTTTTCTCGGGCAATATTGTTGAACTGCCTCGCACGGCGAACGCACCGTCAACTTTTTGTGACACACGAATTTCGATTCTTCGCGCTTGTACTTTCTTTGCTTGTATTTTACACCTAAAAGACCACAGATAAAAGGCCATCTCGGACGCACATCTCCAACTGATATTTGTAATCTATTGGTATATATAGTTACCAAGCGTGCGTAAGCAGCGGTGAGAGGTATGACAACTATATTACTTTTGTTATTAGGATTTTTTAATTAAAAAAGCAATTATAATGGAATTATATTAATCATTAGCATACGAGAATTGTCCAGAGATTTGGGAATATCCCAGAGCAGTGTTAGCAGAATATTAAAACGAAATAAATAAATAAATTTAAAAATGAAACCAAGTATTTTATTCAAAGATTATTGGAGAATCGTATACAGAAGAAAAATCGAACAAAATTTATTGATTGATGCATTAAAAATGAGTATTTACCTCTTCCACATGTGGCAGAGCATGGCGACCATTCTGACCATTCTTCCGTTTCACATTTATCGCCGGTTTCTTCAAACTCCTCAAAATCCATGTGTTCGCAAGTTTTCTCGTACAGCCTTTGCCTAGACAAAGTTAATCTGGCGAACGGTTTCATTTCCGCTCTCTTGGAGTCGTAAAAAGGAGACCTGTCGTCCACATTGTTGGAGGTTTTCAGGCGACGTATGGCTTGCATTGGTACTGATGGTTGGTCTGGGGACTAACATTTTTCAATTTTAAGTCAATATAATGACAAAAAACCAACTTACTAGATAAGTAATCCCATCATCAGTACCAACATCCCATGGATACAGGTTCAGAACTTTTGACTCCACCCAGGAGCAATTTCTCAGGCACAACTCCAAACTGGAAACGCCAACTATCCAATCCGGCGAAGGGTCAATCATAGACACCATGGACATAAGGTGGTGCTTGTTGTCCACGCGAAATACAGCGAAAGTTTTCCCGGTGATGTTTGGATAACTGATACCTCTAGCTTTGATGATGGTTCTTATGTGATCACTCTGAGAGGGTATAGGATAAATTACTTACCTTCTAATATTACAGACAAGACAAAATTGATATTTATTTGTAATAAAAAAGTTGTTGATTTTTTTCCGCAAAACAAACAAATTGATTCGTGTTTGGACAAAATTAAACTCATGTAGCCTCACCCTTATTAGGTTCGTTACCTTGGCCTTAAGCTCGCTCTCCAACATTCTCGTGTTACCATGTTCGGCTAGTTGCCTCAAGCCTTCACTAGCGAAATCGCCGTAACTCCAAAAAGTATAATTCACGGTATGCGAAGCTCCAATAATATCACTGAACCTCGTTAGTCACCCGTTCGTTGGAAAATCTTTAGGATGGGTGTTCCTCGACCATAGTCCTTCGAAGGTCATCTAAAAACGGAATGTACAAAGTAGACACTTTATAGTTATTGGACAATTAACATTAATACTGTAAAAACAAGAGTTCTATAAATAGTTACCTTAAAGTCAAATCATTAGATTTTTTTTTTATTTCTAAAAAGTGTACAGATCAGTGTGTGGTATAAATGTGTTCCTCATGGCCAGTGTCCAATTAAGCCGGATTTATAGTTCTAAAACGTAGCCGTAGTCGTTGCAGTTGCAGTTGCAGTAGGGGCAAAACAGTCCGTGATTGGCTGGAGGATGTTTGCAGTAGCATCCAAGGTCGTTGTCGTAAGTTGTCGTAAGAGATGACCAACTTTTATCTTTTCTTGCGGCAACGACTACTACAGCCAATCAAATTGCAGATATTGCAAAAAAACTGTCAAACTCAAAAACAAGGCTCCCAAACCATGTTTATAAGTAAACTAAACCATTTAAACAAAATAAACGAAGCGAAAATCACATATACAAAATACTTGAAATCTTTGTAAACAGAACAAATGTCACCAAACTATGTTTATAAGTAAACTAAACCAAATAAACAAAGCGAAAATCACCGATACAAAATACTTGAAATGTTTGTAAACAGAACAGATGTCACTACGCGGCCACTACTGCAACCGCTACGCGCTGAACTATAAATTGTAAAAATTAGCTACTTACTTACTACAACTGCAACTGCAACGGCTACGGCTACGTTTTAGAACTATAAATCCGACTTTACTGGTTGGTAAAAAATGTAAATTTCTATTATTGGACATGTGTCCAATATCATACTCTATTTGTATCCCGGACATTTACCAGCCAATTCTTATGTAAAATTGTCCCCTGAATCCGAAAAGACCGTCAAAAACTGATTATATTTCAAAAACTGTTCTACTTTTATAACTTTTGACGACATTTTCGGAATCAGCGAATAATATTTCATAGGAATTGACTGCTAAATGTCCTGGATACAAATTGCTGTTGACGAGAATTATTAGTGGCTGCTTTTTCGCTATGACATTTTTGACTAATTCATTTTTAGAGAGTAAGTTATACTGTATAGAATCAAGTAAGTAAGGCTGGAGACAAGGATGACAAATTATATTCTGATCAGAGAAAAAGAAACAAAGTTTAATTGGGCGTGGTTTAAACCAAGCCATTCGTAATTACGAACCATAGTTGCCAGGTTGTTTTAAATCAGAATGGAACGATTATAATTATTTAATAAATAGTTCAATTTTATTTGTTTGAAACTTTAAAAATAACAAAAAAATTAATAATATGTCAAAAATAATTTGATTTAGTTAATTTTTTTACTTTTATTATTAAAAAATAAGAAAAACAACCCTTTTAGGAAACAATAATAGCATATGTCAACAGCGCGGCATGCAGCCAGATACAAGGGCATGCAGTTTGATCTACTGTGTTGTTCAGTAGCTCCGACGCTGTCGTAGGGAAATGTGTATAGTTTTTTAGAAATCCATTAACTGAAATTTAATGGATTTTAAACAATGCTTGGTTTTTATTTGCAGAAATGCATTAAAACAAAACAAACGAATTCGATTAAAATAAATCCTATAAATTCTCAAACAAAAATATATTTTAATATTAAAATAACGAAAATAATTTTTTCTAAATTAAAAGTTCAAATAGACCACCAGCAGCAGTTAAACAATACCCTAGCCTATCATAAAAATTCCTGCGCACGTTAAAGTTGTTATGTTTATATAAAAATTGTATGTCCAATAACTATGGTCCATGTGTCCAATAACTATATAAAATGTCCAATTACTATACGTTTTTATAAAACTATTATTAAAAATTCAAATATTCTTATTTTTGATCGACACGAAATAATGACTTACTTACCTCGTACTTGGCCTCATCGCATGTGCAGCACTGTCTTAATAATTTCGGTTGTGAATCTTCGTTGTCCGGTGCTTCTTCGCAAAGCGATTTCGTAAGGGCCCCGTCTTCGCTGAACCATAGATCAAGGGATTCCACTACAGTGGCTCGAAGTTTAATACAGCCGCTTCCTTTGGCAGGAGCGAGCCACAATACCTGCCGGATTAAGGCGAAAAATGGATAATGGAAAATGATAATTCAGGGGTTAAAGAGATTTTATGGGTGCCGAGATTTTATGGGTCCTTAGAATAGCAAGTATCGATATATGGAAGTATTTTATTTTAGATTTCTTTATTGACATATAACTCGATTATTTCTTATGAAACTACAAAATTTAGAAGACTTGAAAAATCTAGTTATAAATGTAATTATAAGGTAATTGTGGTCACAATCCACACAACAAGGTCTGTTCTATCTCGTACTAAAAACTTAACGGCGGCCATTTTTGTTGTTTACAATTTTTGTGCTTTGGGTTTGAGCTCTGTTTATACAGATTAATAATCGTTTTAAACGTTGTGTTTCTCATAGTAAGCCTTAAAAGAGGCCTTAAAGTGCTAAGAACAACATTTTACTCCTCTATTGTGAAAAATAAACTTTATTCTATCAGGGCTGTCATAAAACTGTCAAATGTAAATTTTAAGGTTAAATTATAACCCACAAATAAACCTTCAAATTGTCATTTGACAGCCCTGATAGATTAAGGTATATTTATAATAAAAGAGGAGTAAAATGGTTGTCCTTAGCACTTATTTGAGGCTTACAAGTGCCTCTGTAAGAAACACAACGTTTAAAACAATTATTAAACAGCACAAACCCAAAGCAGTAAACAACAAAAATGGCCGCCGTTAAACTCTGTGCAGTGTTGCAGTGATTTTTAGTATTTTTAGCATGAGATAGAACAGACCTTGTTGTGTGGATTGTGTTTTACTTTAGAATCTGATATTATTTTTGGCAGATGTACCATTTTTTAAATACTAAAAATACTAAATGAAACTGGAATAAGCTACCAACTTAATAAAAAATGCATAATGCATTCAAATAATTGAGGTTATGTTTAATTACAAACTTTTACATTCAATATCTCGTACAAAACCGAAATTTCGGCAAGAACAAAGTAAAATGTTTCAAACTTTAAACAAGGCATATTTTATAATAGAAAATTCGGCACACTCAACTAATTCCAAAGCAATTTAATATTTAATACGCAAAGTTGCACAAATTAAAACCAAAAGTCCGCAGCTAAATTAGTTTCCGATCAGTTGGGCCAAGTTGAATTTGTTTACCTGAATCTCCGATTTCGGTTGCGAATCGGTCTCGATGATTGCGTTCGAGCAAAGTTTGCTAAATTGAGTGAAAGAGTCGCCCATAAGTTGGAGGGACCCGATGGAGGAATCCTCTTTCTTCATTTGGTCGTTGCTTATGGATAAAATGAAGTGGGAGAACTTATGGTCGAGGTCCTTGTCCATGCTTCGAAGGTACACTAAACAAGAAACAATACGTAAGTTGGGCATACGTGTGTTTTTATAAATCGAAATGTATCCCTTAAAAATGGATTAACAACAGTTTTTCACAGTAAAAGTGAATAAAACCATTATCATAGGACTATATATTTTTTTATATTTTGTATGATGGATTTTATTTTTAATTATAAATTCACTATAATGTATACAGTCTTATTCAAAAATACAACAATTAGTTTTTTAATTTCAAATTTACTAAAATTCAATTATTCCCTGTATACATTTTAATTGCTGATTAGGTATTCTGTTGTTTGTTAAAACAGTTCTAAATTCAATTCGTGTGCGCGCAATAATTTTCGTTAATAATTTAATAAAATTATTTGTTTTATTTGTTAGAACGTATTACACAAAACCGCCAACCAAATTCGCTAGGCGACAATAAAATTACCATATCAATAAAAGCAAACTTGCCGAATAAATTATTAATGTACATTACGTATGTATACCTATGTATGTGTGTACGTAAACATATTCCCGATAATAATTGGATTTAAATTTTGCTATAAGGAATTTAAATAAGCAATTAGATAAATATTCATAAGGGTGATGCTAAAGCAAAATCTGAAATCGACTAAAGAATTTTAAAAATATATGGGTGATTCTTCAAAAGTTGGGCAACTTTTTACCTCATTTTGTTTATATTGTTTTCGAAGAAAATTAAACAGTATTTTGTTATGAGAACATAGATAACATAATAAATATACGGTTCCAGACCGGGCCAATCACTTTTTCAAACGGTTTCTGAAATATCTGTGTTTTCTAAATTTGAATGGAAGGGAAGTGACGAGTATACCGGGGTACTAATTAAATACATAATTTATTGGAAAATATAAGATTTATTGCAACTTTGAGCATATTATACATTAAATATCTTAAAATCAAATAATACCACACATCAGTGGCGGCTGGTGGATTTTGGGTATAAAGATATCTCAATTATTAGATATGGGACCCACACCAAATTTATATGAGTTTATAATGACATTAAATGAACAAGTTCTGCGCAAGCAGAATTTAAATTGAAGTTTGCGAAAAAAAGATAACCGAAACATCGAACATGGAACTGACGAAACGGATACAAATTTGAGATTATAATTCGGAATTAAGTATTTTACTGATATTTTTTATTAGTGGATGCTACTTATCAACAAATCACATATAGCCTTATATAAATTACAATGAAATATATATACGCAAGAAAATAACTACTGAAATTTTTACTTCAACTATACGTGCATTCACCACAACTTCGCCGCTTGCATTGTTTTCAAGATGACTGTCGTGCAAAGGGCGGGCTCTGTAGGTAATTTTTTACCAACACTTGAGTTAAAACGAGGAGTTGACGTTTAAACTTCAATATTTCGTAGGAATTTTTAATTTTAACATTGGACACAGAACTGA